AAATATTATAGTTGAACTGAACATTTTTTAACTAAACTTCATTCAGTTCATATATTCATAGTTTGAACTGACTGCATGTATGTATATCATTTTTTATAAGTTTCGTAACTTATTTTGAGGTAGAAGAGCAAACATCAACTCCTCCTATTTAGAGTTCGGGAAGAAAAATGAAAACTATTTAAGATTAAAGAGAGATCCCGGCTTTTCTAACAACCACAAGAAAATATGTAATTTTGCAAAGCAGATTTTTCTGCATCTATGAGGTATCTGTTGTCTTCTTCATGACATCAAGAAATAAATAGCAGCCCTATTTAAGCAAAATTTTTAAAGAGGGAAATTTGTACTTCACTAGTATCTTCTCCTTTTCTTCAAAAAACATCAAACCACAATTCTAAGAAAGCCTTAAGAAAAGCTCTCTGTCACGAGAGATTGGATATTCTAGGAAATATTTGTTTAGAGGTTTTACAAGGGAATAGATTTAGGTTGAAACTATTAGATGCTTGTGGAGAGCTGTGATTTGATTCTTTTATGTTTTTCAAATGGCTGTTAAAGATTTGACAGCATCTTAAACCAAAACACCAGGCAAATTCAAAAGAGCAAGCCCAGAAGCCACTTAATGCATTTTCCTGCAGGGATTGCAATAGGTACAGTGAAATGCAGTAGATTTTAATTTTTGCCTTAATGCCATTAAGACGGCTGTATCATCCTCTCCTAATGTACTTGACTTGCTAATTATCGTGCGCCTTTATGCAGAGGTTGACCCTGTTTGCTCTGCAAGGGCATTTCAGTGTTCGCAAACTGAGAGCAATAAACAGTTTGTTTACCACTTAAAAAAAAAAAAAGGGGGTCAAATGTCTCTCCATGGAAACGAGTTTTCACAGATATCCCATGAACACCAGAACATTTTCTGTTACTGTTTATCAGGAAAGGAGAAGTGGAACTGCTGGCTGTGCAAGTCTTTATGCAAACATTGCTGCTGCTGCTTTACCCGCCCTTGGCTTCCCTCCTCTCCTCCCCCCATTAAGTGACTAATGGTCAGGCTGAAAAAGAAGTGACAGGTAGGGATTTTATGAAGTTTTTATGAAGGATTTTATGAAGGTATGCAGCTGCAGAGGAACCTTATGCAGTTGCCCCAAGATCTAAGGAAAAGGCCAAATCGCCTACTCTTCAGAGCCTTAAATCTTAACATTAAACCTTTAACGTTACCTCACATTACTGGGTGCTGCAAGAGTCAGCTTAACTAGCACATTGTGCACAAAATATATGTAAATAGTAGTGCTGAAACACTGTTGAATAAGTTATTCAAATAACTTTGTTACCCAGCTGTTTTAGTTTTGCTACCTGTGCTTGACATACGTTAGTTAGGAGTTAGGAAAGGTTGTCTATATGGGTAGGCATCAGTCATTTAAGAGTTGCTGTTAAGTGGTAGTGACAGGTTCAGTTCTTGCTCAGCATGAATCTCAAACCTCCCTAAAAGAGCGCTCGGACATGCTGGCTTACCAGCTTGAAGAGCAACAAATCTACTTGCAAGGGGCTGTCTGATCTGCTGCCGCTGTGGAAATCTGCCTGTTGCAGTTGAAATGCAGTTGCCCTGCCACCAGCCTCCTGCGTGGCCTATAAAAGTGCTTCTGAGGAGACGAAGAAAACAGGAAGGAACTAGAAACGTTGAAATTGATCTTTTCGCCCCATTCCTTTGAGGAAAACGGGTCTGCTGCACATATTGTATCAGGTCTGAACTTCAGTGCCAAATTCATGAATCGCGTGTCATTAGAAAGCAAGGGATTAGCTAGGGAGCTTGGGCAGCCTTCTGCTGAGGCTGCACCAAGGAGCTCTGCCCAGAAGAACCCAAGAAGCAAAGGAAGAGAGGAAAGAAGAGGAAAGGGGTGTAAAAAGGAAGTTTCTGTTCATGCAGTGCAGGAGTGTGACTGGAGAAGCTGAAAGGCAAGAACAAATTTGGACTCAGTAAGATTTGGTCAYGCTTTGCTCATGTGCAGAAGTGTTGGGCATCAAGGGGAAGGGAAAGGCGGTGAGACCGTGGCACTGCTCTGCTTTTATTTTTTTTTTCCACTAATGCTGATAGCGATTTTATGGAAAAACTAACAGGAGAAAAGGTCAGTAATAAATAACCTTGAGGCTTATTGATCTCTAAGCATTTTTAAACTGTTTTTGCTGAATTCATGACTAGGTGTTATGAATTCCCTCTCCACTGAAGTGAAGCCAGATGAAGGGCAGGGAGAATGAACGCATTTCAGTGAAGCAGTGAATTGAAGAGAGCTGTGTTTCTAATTAAAGGTGGAGGTGTGAAATGAAGAAAGCTGTGTTTCTAATTAAAGGTGTACTTATTCAAAATGTTATTACTTCAAATGAGATTTGATTAGTTCATGCTTTTCACAAAAGGAAAAGAATGATTTGGAATTTGCACTGACAGTAATTGAGGAACTTGGATGTCTCTAGTAAAGGACTGTGTCCCTGATAGTGCTGGTGGCATAAAGCTAGGGAGGGATGAAGGCTACATGGTTGTTCTTTACCACAGCCTGATTTCCCCTCTTGAATGTGTCTTGAGGTCTTGAACTTGTGAGGTGCTGTGGAGGTAAAAGAAAAGAGGAACCACTATCTTTGATGTCTTTGTAATAATTTTTCCATTATGTAACTTGGTTGCATGTGAATGTAACAAATCTCTTCCTCAGGCAGGTGTGCAAATTGGTTTCTGCCAGTTGTGGTCTGCAGTGCTGGGTTTGCGCCTTCCCACAGGGATGTATTTGATTGTCCTTTGCAGAGCAGTACACTGCAGCTCCATAATACTGTGTGAATTGTGTGGTTTGACTTATTTTCTGTGTGTTTCTTTCTGGCCCTTGTAGGTTTATCCAGATGAGTCATATCCCAGGTTTGTCTCCTCAGATGGCTTGGCAGCTGTGCTAGTTTTCTCTTGAGAATAACATATTACATTATAAAGATATTTTTCCTGGCATTTATACTTTMTTAATCTTTTGAGTGACACACTTATCTGCACTGTTCTACTTTGTGTTTTAGATTTAGGGTGATTCGCATCTTCTCTTGACAATTTAATAAARCAATGCTTGCTAATGTGAATAGCCTGACAGTCAAAGCTTTCAAAGATTCGTTCTTGCCCTTATCTGCTAACCTACTGACTGTGCAAGCTTGCTAGGTTGCAGAGGGCTTTTGAGATTATTCATAAACTGTTTGAATTTCAGTTTCTAGGCACYCTTTCCAGTTCTTTGAAAGGCGGAATATCTCACTGCATCAATTTTGGAATAACCACAGTTGAGACACTGCAATGCATTTTACTCCATTTAATAAGAGCATGCTTATTACTCTCAGGTTTTTAAGCTATTAAATGCTGCTTCAGGAACCCCTCACCATAAAATTGCTCACATGGAAGTGTTGTCTGAGGACATACTGCCAAATACTGCATGCATTACTTGGTGCTCGTTCTGTTCTTCTCAAGCCATCTGCTTCAGTTCATGGTTGTGGTTGTATGGGGCTCTTAAGGGTGAAGAGTCTCTTTCAGAGACACTAATCCTAGAGCAAGGTGGGGAATGGCTTGAGTCAGGTCTCCTGCTTTGCTCCCAGCTCCAGAAAAGCTACTTGATGGCACCTGGCACAGCCATTCCTGGGACACGGACATTGCAGTGGCTTTATGGGCTAATTCCATTAGAGCAAAGCCGTTAGCACAGCTGCCTGAAGAACTGCCTGCAGGAAGCAGAGGCTTAGAGACAGGCCAGGGCTCCAGCTGAGCTCCGGTGAGCTGCGATGGGCAGAACTGGCGCTGGTGGGAGCGAAGCTTTCCAGTTAGGGTCTGGTCTTGCGATTGTGCAGGTCTGTCTTGATGTGCTGAGTTATTTTTAAGTGTAGGTTCTTTGTCCTGGGAAACTGATTTCTGTCTTGAAACCCTATTCCTTGTTTAGTTTGTCAGTCTTCGCTTTTAATATTGCCAGGCTCTGGTTATTTCTTCTTCTTTGCTCATTTTTCTCCATCCCTGAAGCTTAATTTTCATCTTTCCCTTTTCATATYCTGCACCAACATGATGCAGGGTCACTTCAGGAACAAGGGATCAGGAATATTCCTCCAGGAAATGTGTTCTGTATCTCTGGGTCGTGCTTCCCCAGTGTCAATTTTCTATCTGAAACATCATTAGCATTCTACCTCCCAGAGTGAGGAGAGGTATTTTGGATATCTTTGGAGCAAAGTGTAAATCACTTTCCGTGTGCAAACTTGTAAATGTTCGCTGACGATTTAATTTTTAGTTCTGGGGGATTATTTCAACTCCTATTTTTCAGAAGTTGTTTTCTGTTGCAGGAGAACTTCCGTGCTGAGCACCACAAATGGCACAGTTGGGGTGATAACTGAGTGTGAGGCTCTGTTTGTCCTGTGGAAAGGTAGCCCCATCCACCTGACTGTCAGTGCCACAGTAACTACAGGAAAGATTTTGGAGAGCAGGAAGCTGAGGAAGCTGTAGAAGCAGGGGAACCATCCCAGCAAAGGTGGAGATCAGGGGTGCTCAAAGGGAAAGGGCACGTCAGGAATACTGAATATTCAAAAGAAATGACCACGTGTTGAGGTGACTTGTGCTCTTCTSTCTGAATAGCAGGTGTATTTTGTTTAAATGCTCACAGAATGTGCGTGTGCATCTTGCTGGTGCTTGAGGATTGCTCGTTATCTTCAGACTCGTAGGAGATTGCACCCGGCAGCGGCTCGCTGCCTCCGAGGCAGAGGTCTGAAATGGGGAGAAGGGGAAGGAAGGAGGTATTTTTATCTAGGGCCAAAATTAGGCTTGACTTTGCAGTAGAAGTTGTGAAAGATCAATACACTGAGGGTAGTAGAGTATCTCTGAAAAAATCTGAAATGCCTAAATCCAGAATGAAATAAAGATAAGAGTGCATGTTTTTTCTGGTTTTTAAATAAAGCCTAACAATAAAATGCTACATTTACYTTTTTTTTTTTTTTTTTAATCCAAGTATTTTCCTCTTGCCGTTTTAAAGCTTTTCTACAGTTGGAGAAGAAGGAACAACAAAAGATAACCATTGATCCGCCATCTAAAGGATCAAGGAAAAATTACTCTTTCACAAATGAAGAAGTAAGACAGATTGATCGGGAAAACCAAAGGCTGTTGAGAGAACTGTCCAGGCAGTCTGCAAAGCCCAGAAGCAGAAGTACCACTTTGAAGAAATCGGCTCTTCCTCCTCCTAAGTTATACCACAGTGCCCTCAACAGGCAAAAGGAACAGCAAAGAATTGAAAGGGAAAACCTGGTAAGTTTTGAGAAGTTTTAGGTCTGTTCAATGTCAGGTAAGTCAGTGAATACTTACAGAAGCTAGTAAGGCAGTGGCTGTAGCGTTACTGCAGTTACACTGAAATTCCTGGGTTTCACCTAGCTGTGCCATGACTATCCATCGCTGTGCTGTATGAATTATATTATTCATATGGTGTGACTTTTTTTTTAACATTTTTTTGCAAGTGAAAACAGAGTTTACTTTGTACAGGTTTGTTGTGCTTCAGTATTGTTCTATTTAAGAGGAGCAGTCATTTTTGTTAGCACACAACTTTCTGTAGGAGTCTTATTCTTCTGATCCTCATTTAGGCACCATGATTACCTGTCCCTTGAGTAAAGGCTAGCAAAAAAATAAAGCAATGAATATAATAACCTCAAGCCTATAATAAACCTCTGTTATATTTGGAACATAGAGTGCAATGTGAATATAAATTTTGTTTCTGAGTCATTTTATAGCTAGCCACCATTTTCAGTGTTTGTAGTTCTTTGTTTGACACATTATTTGAATATATGTCGCAGCCACAATCAGTTATTTTAGTTAAAAACAGAAATCTTGATTCATTCAAATAGGGGTAGTGGCAGAGTGGTCAAATAACAAATATATAATTGGTTTCAATAAGATGGTTTTAGTGAAAAAGCTGTGGTACAGATAATGACACTTTCACATGTAGTTGTTCTTTAATGTGCTGGAAGAGAGGGAAAGAGAAGGATTATTTGGAAAAGTTATACCAAAAGTAATTTATTCATTATTGGGACTTTTTCTCAGTCTAAGTGTATGTTGAAGTTTCCTTATAGGTGGATTCAATGTGGAGAAAGTCTAGTTGTCCACTTCTGGAGAATATATTATTTTTTAATTCTTCTGACTTTCAGGCTTCTGGGCTGTTAAAAGTATTTTCAAAGTTGGGAAATTGTCTTGCCTAGCTCCTCTACAGTAAAGTCTACAAAAAGAACATTGTACTTTATACATTGAATTGCTTAATGAAAAGGTGAAATGAGAATATAATTTGGAACTCAAAGAGCACCTTGCAAAGATTTTTCAAGGGAGATAGCTGTAAATATATGAGGGAGTGTCTTCTTCATTTAACTCTTTCCATGCCCTTAYCTGCCTGGATTGTGTTCTGATGGGACATTTTATTATGTTTGATGTTTCATATTGCCTGGAGAATAAATATTTTTAGACTTACTTTTCTTAATTCAGTTTGCTAAGAGAATTTTCCCCATGTGTTGTGTTGATGATGATCAGTATTAAGAGGTTGAAAGCAGGACTTGCTCTTTTATGTGGGCCTCACTGATAAGAGAATATTGTTAGGCAGCAGAAAGAAATACCATGTCACAGCTTCTTGCCATCTAGTAGCAATCATCTATTGTTATGTAACTTAACCTATTAGATAGGTATTGTTATACCAATGTATAGAATTACTTTCATAATGCACTTTTGCTTACTCAAGTCCATAAGCCCCTCTCTTTCAATTTATTGAAATATTTTATCCAAGAATGTCTTGCCTTTGCAACTTTGGTTCAAAGATTTAGCAGGCGTAAATCCAGTTAGTAATTTCACATACTGCTGTTTTAATACATGATAGAGATGAGTGGTGATTGCTTGAAGTCCAAGAATTAATAACCTTCAGTTACTTATTCATTTATGTCTTAGTTATTAAGGTATTAACTACARGAACAGAAATAGAAACTTTTGACTTCGAAGTAATTTTTTAGAATTTGTGTTAGGATATCTTGCTGTTTTGGATTATGAAAAAATGAGTTTATTCAATCCCCAAATGCATGATGATATATTTGGTTCTCCTCAGAAAAGGGATTCACTAATACAGGCCTTCTTTTTTCTTTTCTTTTTTTTTTTTTTTTTTTTTAACGTTTCTTTCATCTTCAAGCAACTCTGTGTACTTATTTATTCTGTTTGAAGTGGTCTGTGCACACAGAGTGTCACAGTTTTACTGCCTTTTTTTTTCCAGCAGCAGCTGTGTAGGTTATGGGTATAACATGCTTCTCTTGGAGACTAAACGAAGGAGTTGCATAGCTGAAAGTGGGTTTGCTTTCTGTTTTCTTTTCGTCAGCAGCTTTCCTCACCTTTGTTCTTTGTAAATTAGAACTTTCTATCAATCTTTCTTGATAAGTGGTTATCTGGCAGCCTGTGCAGGGAGAGTGCAAAGACAGATTGTTTAACAGCAAAGGTTTCTCCTGTTGGATTACAGCCTTTATAATTCCTTGTCCTCAGGGTCACACCTTGTCGAGGTAAGACTTTCACTGGCTCCACCAGATCGTTCTTGGAGTGATGCCTGTATTTGCTGTTTGCAGAAAAGCAGCTTGCTTTCTGCTGCAGGTGTTTGGCATCTGAGGCTCATGCAGTGGAAGTGATTCAGGGAGTAAGGAGCTGGAGAGGGACTGGAGTGCTCTGGCTCTTCAGCTTTGTGCAAAGCTCTGGGGAAGCACGTGCAACACACGCTCCCCTCACAGACTCTGCTGCAGAGTTGCAGTGGACTAGAAAGGTGCATTGCCCTGAATAACCACAGTTGCAGYGTGGTGAGTAGGAATTTGGAAAAAATATAGAATAAGCACAAGAAAGCATTAATAAAATTMATGTCCAGCTTCTGCACTTGCTGTTTTTGACTCTGTTCTTCTGGAAGTGAGCCCTGCTCTGTGTTGCTTATGCAAGTTAGCAAGACACGAGTGTGACTCTTGCCAGTAGAGGATGCTCTTGATTCAGAAAACAAACCTCTCCCGTGTCCTGTCTCCCCTCTGGTGGAAGAGGACACAAGTGTGACTGATGCATTGCTTTTCTTCAGTGCCTACAGGCRTATGTGTCAATTTATAGGGTGGAAATTTGTGATCTGAACTGTAGATTCTGCAAAAGCTGGGCTGGTATGCACGGGTGAGTGTCTGTGCAGCATGAAATGCAGATTTGCAGTCAGGGTCCCRGTCCTGAATCACTTCATCAAAATTAAAGTAATTCTATCTGTCATCTGCCTTAACTGGAGGTTATTTATGTATGTGTGGGTGCCTGTGTGCATACAAAAGGGATCTCTGCAGCTTGCACTGGAAGTGCAGTGGGAACAGCAGTTCTCAAACCTCAGAGTGAGGGGGAATGGACATTTCCCACCAATCCCTGTGGCGCTTCCTTCCCTCCCTGCTCATTCCCCTTCTTCAYATGTGCCCCAAACGTACCCTGAGCCCCAGCAGAGCTAGCTCTGATCCAGGTTCTCTGCATGGGCCGCTTTCCCTTCCCCTGCTGGCACCTCTGCGCTGAGATGAGCTGTAGGATCCAGGGAAAACTCTCTTCTTTCCTCACGTTACCCAGCTTGCTAAGCTGAGGCTGGTTGCTCCATCAGCTCGCTGTGTGTGGATGCCAGTCACACACAAATATGAGAAGTGTTCAGTTAAAAAGCCTGCTGTAGATCGAAGAACTTCAAGATTTTGGGGCTTTTTGATCTGTAGAACGTGTCAGCCCACACCTAATTAATGCAGCTGGCAATCAAAGAAAGSTACAAATCCCAAGGTAGCCCAGAACAAAAAGGTGTCCTTGGCTGCACTGCTGTTTTCTGCCCCTTCCCCCGCTGAACTCTGCGAGGGGACAGTGCGGTCGCTGTAACATGAGTGCCACCAGGGAGGCACAGTATAAATAAATGGGAACAGCTGTCACACACCGGTCAGCTGGTGGGGATTCACTGGAGGTGAAACTGAAGTCTCCCTGAGTTGGAAAAGCAAAGCAAAAGGAAGAAAAATAGCAGCTGTTACCTTTGCTCTGAAATTAATWTGTCAAGGCTGCAATCTTACTTTTTCCCTTTTTTCCTTTGTCTTTCTTTCCAGAATAACTTTGGAGAAACTTTTTTTTTTTTCTCTTTGACAGAGAGCACTGGGCTTAGGCTGTTTATCAGAACATTTATGTTAGTCCAGTCCTTTATTGAGGTGTGAAGTTYTTTTGTTCCACAGTTGTTGCCCATCTCATCCTTGCTTTCCTCGCTGTCGGTCTTGATGCCTTTACAGACTGTAGATATACGGATTTATAAAGAGTAATCCTATTTTTAAAGGTTAATTGTGCAGGATCATTTTCTGTGCTTTCATGTTTGTTTTTATTCTCCTCTTTTTGTAAACTCAGTAACATAATAAAAGTGAGGGGGACGGTGGAATAGAGGCCTCAGGAAGCCTTTGCCAAACTGGGAGATTGGCTTTGGGGACAGCCTTTTTCCTTAAACTCCCAAGCATGTTCTGGTTCCTCCTTTTCTTTTCCGAAGAGCTTTTACCTCTTTAGGGTTTGTCTGATCCTTTCATCTCGCCTGTAGTCATTGCCTAAGTACTTGATGCTCTGCATGCCTGCTCTGCCTCTTCCTCGAGCAGTGCAAAGCAGGGCTGCAGCTTGTTGAGCTATTGCGGGAAGCCCCTTCCTGCTSTTCTTGCAGGTGCTTGTTGCAGTGAAGCTGGAAACCTTTCCCTGCCTCTGCCCTCTTCTCCTCCCTCTCCTTCCCCAGCACAGTGCCCATAGTCCCTTCAGAGGGTCCATACATACACACACATATAGTGTCATTAGGTTTTATATATATATATATATAATTATTGATTATTATTGAGGCAGGGTTGTTGTGCATGGCACAGCAGAGGAGAGAACAATTGTGAAAACCGTTGATTTACTTRAACACTAATGCGAATCTTGAATCAACTAAGCAGCTATGACATGGTTAAGAACAACTTAATGGCATTGCTGCAATTCACGCATTTGTTGCTCATTATACTCCTTAAAGTGATCAGGRGCATGTCAGGTTCTGAACACTGGGATGATGTTAGGTGACCTGATTCTTCAGTCATTAAGGCAAATGATAAAATTTCCACATATTGTGGTGGTATAGCTAGAGAGAATTAGCAGTTGAATGAACACAAAAAGCAGCAATGTTCTTCTCCCCATCTCAAGATGCTGTTTTAAGGACAACATAAAGAATTGGCAAATTGATATGCATAGCAGGAGAAAAAAAAWCATAATTTAACACCATTGTACAAGGTAGTTAAGTACTGGAAGATTAAAGTGTTTGTAATGTAAGAATCAGGACTTACTGATGATAATAGGTCAGGACTGACATTTTGGTGTATTGATGTGTTCATTTCTGCATGCAGAAATTACAAAATTCTTAACTGCAGATAACGTACAAGGGGACTTGCCCTTGGTGCAGTTCTCAGCAGAGAGCGAGGGGCAGGCAGACTATCCCCTCCTCCTTCAGGAAAGGTTTTCTTGGAGCACTTTACCATGTAAGACATTGTGCTCTCTTCCTAGTAGGATTGTATGAAGCCCAGTGTTAATCTGCTTTAAAAGTGATTTTTTTTTTAGTACTAATGTAAGGGGTTGTTTTGATTTAATGATGGGGATTTGATGCAAATTACAGGCATAAAGGTAAAAGAATTGCTTTTAAACCAGACTAAAATGGGCATATGCAAATGTGCAGGTCAGGAAGCAAGCCTGAAGTTGCTGCAGTATCATGGTATGTAGGTTACATGAAGCTGCTGCAGTTGGAATGCTCTCCATTTGCGATAGAGCTGAGTATTTTGAGAGGTTCTATTTTTAATATTGGAGGTAAATCCAAGTTATCTTTGTAGGTCTAAATGTATGTAGTTGTATAAGGAGGTACTGTTGGAGATGTGTTCAAATGTTTCATCCARCATTGTACATACAGGTCTACCATTTCGTGTTCTGCAACTAGCTTTAGCAAAGAGCTATTTCTGGCTCAAGTCCTTCCTTTGACTTTTACTTACTTAGGTCTTTCCACTCGGCGATGAACCGAGTGGCACTTGATGCCAGCACATGAGACGTAGGACGTCAGAGCCCAAATGTCCTTTCCCGCTTGCCCGTTCCGGGTGGGTTCCAGCTCCCGTGCGTAAGTGCAGAAAGGTTGTAGGTCCCTGTTACAACTAGACAAAGACAACTGGCATCTTGTGAATGCTCTGCTGTTGCTCAAATCACCTGCTGAAAAGTTTGTTTCTGCTCTAAAGAAATCATAACTGGAGGGAGGGAGGGAGGGAGGGAGGGAAGACTGATCGCTTCAAAGTTTAGCTCTACCAAATCTCAACTTTTACCATATGTGTACCTAGATAATACACCTAGATAATACACCCTTGTTAATGGAGCTGTTTGGGGACGTTGGAGATGTGGGTACTTGCAGTCTGCATTCTCTGCCCCTAGGGTTATACCTCAGGGCTGTACCCAGGGTATAACCTATGCATGTTGTGCCCTGGTTGGCGATGGGTGGTTGCCTCATTGCCAAAAGCTGCTAGGCCATCAAGTCTGACATTAGTTAGCCAAGGGAATAGCAAACACCAGAGGCCAGATGCATTGAAAGGTTGGGTTGTAACTGTAAGTTGCATGCCACTGGTTCCTTCCTAATTTGTCCCTTCAAGAAGGGCAATATGTACAGCAATAATTTCTGCTAGAGTCTCTTAACTTTAAGAATATCACAAATATCAGTGTCAAATGGATTTTTATGCTTTTCTTTTGACGGTACTTTCATAGAAATGAGGTCAGTAGTTCTCCCTGGGGGGCCTTGTGGGAGAATATAAAATGGTCTTAGGAGGTTTGCAAAGTGAAAATTAAATTTAGAAAAAGTCTTTTTATCCTACCTGAGATTTAACCTACAAGAAGAAAGGAGAAACAAACAGTTCATATTCCTGCTGTCTTTACCACCAACAAGATAGGTGTAGTTTCAAGTCATTCCTCATGAAGTGCAGGGAAAGGCAGGATACCAAGGATGTACCCAGCACAGAATGGTGTAAAGTGGCCACGTGCTGCTTTTGTCTGATTATAGCATTGTAAAAAGAACTGGCCCTGAGCAGAACAGCACAGCTGGTCACCAGTGGCCTTGTCCCTGCTGACTGCAGGGAGATGAGCAGTGTTTTTAGACMTTGTTTTCTTCATACTAATAAAAATAAATTCGTATATATTTATTTTGTATCTTCTTAATATTTCTCCTTCTTGGTATTTTCTTTGCTCTTAAGGCTTTTTTGAAGCGACTGGAAGCAGTGAAGCCGACAGCGGGGATGAGGCGCTCTGAGCAACTGATGGACTATCAGCGCCAGATGAGTTACCTGGGCTCCTCACCATCCACAAGGAGAGGGAAGTCCCAGCTCAGCCCTTCCAGTAAGTGCTCGGTACTGGGCCCATACATGTCAGATTAACCACTGTGCTTGAATTCCCTGTCCCGAGCATTTACAAACAGAGCATGTGCTGTGCAGTTTAATGTGCTGTGCAGTTTTGTGGAGGTTGTTTTTGATATTTTTTTTYCCCTTGGAACTGTGGTAATGGGTGTTACAGTTATAATAGTGCAGGAGGTCGCTTCTTGTGCCTGGCGTAAACATTCCTACGTCTTTTTGTGTGTGTTGACAGGAGGCACGTCAAGGGCGTCGAGTGTGTCAAGTGCAGTGAGCCATAGGAATGAAAAACCTGGGTCTGATGCATCCAGTGGGGCCTTGCAGAGACCTAAACCCACTAACGTTCGTGCTGCTTGGTTATAAGTGTGTGCTCTGCCTCCCGTGTCGAGATGATCTTGAGATTTCTATTTCTAGTGCTTTTGTAAACTCTCCGTGCAAGACTCTTCTCTGCATTGTTTGGTGATTAAAATGCGTTGCATATGAAGTAATTGCTTATAAAATGGTTTTAAAGTAACTCTTTCACTTTAATCAGTGTTTGCTGTGAAAAGTATTTATGAAAGAGAATGAGGTATTTAAGCAAAGTGAAATAGAAATTCCTAGTTATTTTATACTCAAAGCGGGATTTGTATCCATGAAGGAGAAGGATGGAATTGTTGCACTGTGGGTCCAAGATGTAAAGCAAATCTTTAAAGAAGGAAAATTTATTTTTAAAATTGCATTAAACTTGTGAGAATAAGCTTAATTCCTAGGCTGTCCTTGCTTTAGGTAAGCCGTCAGGACTCTATAGGTCGTCTTCCTATGGCTGCAACTCTCCCTCTTACAGCAGCACGAAGTGGGGAAAAGCAGGATTTGTACTACGGCGTGTCCACGTGGTGAACGTTCATTTGGTGCTCAAGGCTGCATCTCTTCCAGATTTAAAAGAACTTAAGAAGTTGTAGTAGGACCTTGGTGCAGAAAAGAAGCATCTCATGTTATGTGAACGCCAGATTGAAATCCGAAGTGAACAGCAGTTTCAGATTCACTTTTAACAAGTGTAAGTTTCTAGTATTTCTCAATAGAAGAGTGAGTGAGGGAAGCATTTTGTGGCCCTGTGTGTGCAGATCATCGCCCGTCCCCGTGGCGAGGTGTCACTCTGAGCTGCGGGAAACTTGGGCATCTGATTTGACAGCAATGGTTAGCCAGGACTGAAAAAGACAGACGCAGTAAGAAACTGAAATGAAGTTATAATTTTTCTCCTTAACATAACTTTTTGATGCTGTGTTTGTACCAAATATTTGGAGTAGTGTCAGATAGGCTTCAGCATCTACTTCCATTTATAGCAGGTGTAAAATGGCATGGCGTTGGCAATAGCAAATAGTAGGCAGTATGCTTTATTTCTCTCCGTAAAGGCAAACTTTCAGTGAGCTTATTGTAGGCTCTTAGTCTTACAAAGAGCATAAACTGTGATGCTGCTGTCTGTGGATGTCACTGGAATCCCGCGCTTCCCCAGCTGCTTCCTCCCASGAGATGTGCAGGAACTCTCTTTGAATTATGCATAAAGAGGAGAAAAAATAATAATAAATAAAAGCTGTATTCAGTAACGCTGGGTCTTAGCCCTACAAGAAGGAAAGTTGATTTTTCTKTGCTCCTGTTTCCGTAAGGGCTTAGGCCTGTAGGTGTTTGGTATTGCAACACACTTGTCGCTGTGTGATAATCAGTCAGAGCTGCTGCACCTGCTGACCTGATCCCGTTTAGCTGCTTGACAGTGTTTGGCAATGTGTTTTCAACTGAAAGCAGCACTGGGGCCAATGGATTGCTTCTGCAATTATTACTCATTGATAGGGACTATATAGCATTTCTTTGCATACTGCGACTGTAATTATTTGTACTGTTGTGCTTATTAAAATTATTCTCTATTTAAAGATCTCTGTCCTTGAATGTGAATATCAGGGTCGTGTTTTAAATACTTTTAAATGTTTGTATGATAATTATTTTCTGTGGAGAAATTCAYAGAATGGATTACTTTTAATCATTTTATTTTATTTAACTTTGGTATGTAAGATTGTCAATTTTGTATGTCACTCTTTTGTAAATTGTAAGAAATAAAATATTTAACATGAAATATGTTTGTCATTGCATAGACTTCTTACAGAATTTTGTTCGATATGAAATTGCAAAGGATATAGTTGGAGAAACTTCATAGTAGGTGTAGTAGAAGAAAACACAACGAATCGGTCTATTAATCGATGCATTTAGCCTGTTGGTGGTTTTTGGTTTTCTTTTAATAAGCCAYATTGATAAGTCCTCGTCAAGTTAAAAGGAAATTACATTTGCAMCTGCCAAGTCTATCAAACATTTACCAAGAAGACAGCCATCAAGAAGTAAATTCTCTGTTCAATTTCCCTTCATTCCTGGGCAGGATAATATTTACTAATACGCTCYTTTAGGTTCCTGCAGGAGGGAGTATCTGGCCACAACACAGATATCTGTTTAAGATCAGCAAATAAAAATCATTACAGAAAAATTTGTTAATAAATTTATTTCAATGGAATCTATTTATATATATATAATTATTTATTCATTTATTTTTGGTAAGCTGTCATTTGCAGTTCTTTTTCTCCCCTTTTTCCTTCCAGAAGAAGTCTTCTAAAYGACACTTGAGTCATTTAGAATTCACCTGTGGTCCCAGATAATCCAAGAGACTCCAGCATAAATGAGAAGAATCGGACAAGGCTGCTTCTCCGGAGCAGTGGATGTTTTTCCAKTGCCAGAGCCTGCCTTCCTTCAGATGTTTGCAGCCTTTAACTGAAGATGCCAGGACATCTCTGTTGTCGTCCTGTTGCTCAGATGAGGGCTTTTTGACTGTCCTAAAGCAAATGGCTAACAATGTTCATACAACAGCATCCATGATGCAACGGCACAGCTTTAGCCTGTGTTAACATGACTGTCATCAAACAGGCTTCAGGATGAATCCCTTGCAAGAGCCTGAGCTCCTTCTCCTGTCAGGTCACAGAGCTTGCTCTTTCCCTCGCAGCTCTGTCTGTGCAGTGTGGTGGAGATGAGGGCAGTGAGTATCACTTACAAGCCGCCTTGTAAGTGGCGGTGGTGACTGTCACACTCACGTCGTGATGGATGTTTCCACTCTGACTTTCTGTATCAGCAAGCCAAGTGTGAGGGGAAAATGGCTCCTCCTAGGGMAGTGGTTAATCTTAAGCACTGGGTATCCTGAGCAGCAGGTGTGGTCTTTGTGCTGTTCTGCACAGTCCCAAGCAAGCAGTGGACTAACAAGGCCCCCTCAATCCGACRATAAATAAGAAACACAATCATCACCTCAGCTAGCCGAGAAGCCATCTCCTTCCAGGCCTGGCGTGCTGGGGTGAGCCTCTCATTTTGGGTGGCAGCAGGATTCACCAATACCACTGTTAAAGCTGGTTTGTCTTCAGGAGGCAGTTGTCTTCACAATATCGATCCGAAAGCCTCTCTGCCTCCCAGTAACTCTCCTCCAACTCAAAATGAGCCAAATTGTCAGTAGTGATGCTTGCAGCACTGTCTTCCTGATTGCAGCTGTACTACTCAATGCAAAGCCCTGAAATCCTATTCCACATGAGTTTGTTTTGTGACCAGTCACCAAAAAAAAAAAAAAACCATGGATCTCAGCTCTCTCCACACAGCRGCTCTTGGGATTAGAACATGCTGTTGGGAGATGGGATTTGGATGAAGTGGAAACRACTTAATGAAGCCAGGCCCTGTAGTCTGCAGCCTGGGGCAGTGCATAGGGGACTCTGTGACCTGTCTCCCTGTTATCCTAGGTTATCCAGAGTGGCTGCTAACGTAACTGTGCTGGCCTGGTTTTTGAAATACTTAGCAAGGGTTTTTTCCTTCCATAAGGATGTGGATGCTCCCCAGGTGTTTCTTGATGCAATGGCTGCTTCTTCCCTCCCAAGTGCAGGAAAAGAGGGCCAGAGGTTTCCAGCTGAACCAGGAACACAGGGAAAGTCTGATCCACACCACCTTTCTCCCCTCCCCTCACCTGCAGTGTGCTGGGCTCTGTGGGGCAGAGGGGCCTCAGACCCACAGRAGGTTCCTCACTTCATCCTGGCCACAAGATGCAGGTGCATGGCAACTGAGAGCCACAGCTTGCAGAATGACAGTTATTTAATTAAGAGGCTCAGGCTCTTACCCAGGTAGATGGGTCTTTGTAAGGAACGCTGCCTGGAGGCTACCTGCACATGGGTTAGACAGCGCAGAAATGCTGAGATGTTACCTGTAAGTGCTCTGCCAGCTCCGTTATTTCAACTCCCTGATGAGCTCTCAAGTATTSAGCCTTCCTACTTTCATTTTTAATTTTTCATTCCCTTTATTTTTTCTTTCTAATGTATAGAAATTTAATACATAGTAACTTACCTCACTTTGACTCCTCTGAAGTTTCTTTTGCTTCAGAATCTCTCAATCATTCACATACCTAATTCCCCCAAAGATTTCTGTGCATTACAATGTCATTCTTTGGCACCTTTTTAGTAAAGTAGGACTCTCCTTTGGAGCATGTAAACACAGAGTGTTCAGAGGTCAATGCAAAATGAAGAGTAAATAACTGTTGTGTCAGTAGGCTTGAAACATATATGTGTGTGTGTGTGTGTGTGTGGATGGATAGACAGACCGACTGACCCAGCCTCCGCAGGGACTACAGGCACTGCGCTGGGGAAGGAGAGAGAGGAGAAGAGGGCAGAGGCAGGGAAAAGTTTCCAGCTTTTCTGCAATACACACTTGCAAGAACAGCAGGAAGGGGCTTCCTGCAATAATTCAACAAGCTACAGCCCTGGTTTGCACTGCTGGAGGAAGAGGCAGAGCAGGTAGGTAGACAATCAAGGCAGTGATTAGAGGAGAGATGAAAGGACCAAACCAACCCTAAGGAAATAAATGCTCTTCAGGACAGAAGAGAAAGAACCAGATGTGCTTGGGAGTTTAAGTTAAAAGGCTGTCCCCAAAGTCAAACAGCTCTAGGGTTTAAGTAAGGAAGCTTACATGTAGCAGAACCCATCMAACATGATACTTTTCCTTTGTAAATTTGTATACATATAAAGCCATAMGGGGTGCCAATTTAGGTAATCTTAAAAAAAAACCCACTCATGTCAGCATCTGTTCTTCTCCAAAGAAGCTTGCTTTCTGGTGGACACTTGTTACTCACAGCTCCTCTAGGTAGTTTCTGCTAGTCTGAATCAACAGCAGGCACACTTAAATCACCAGATTAATTAACAGCAAGCTGGAACAGCCTGCAGCTGTTTAAGAAAAAAACTTAAAAGACAAGACAGACAAGAAATGAGATAACTGGAAACCAAAGCACAGAACTTGGAGAGACAGCAGCTCAGTTTTGGGGCTCACAGCTGCTCGGGACAGATCCTTTACGCTTCTTACACACATAAGCTAAAGCTTCTCTCCTTATCTGCACACTCATTTATGAAAAACATAGAATACAGTCCCAGACCCCATGACTGAAGAGCTGCAGTCACATGCCATTTCAACTAAGACACTATCCACAAATACACTCTCGTGGGGAGCCCTGTTGCATTTACTCCTAAGAGTTACTTTCATATATTCCTTCCCTCAGCTCACTTCCTGCAGGGCAAACTCTCCATCAACACTTAGGCAAAAGGGCTCAGAAAAGGCACCTTATAGAGGGGATGGCACCTGCCAGTGTCCCATTTTGAGCCCTGAGAGCCTCCTGCTTAGGGCAATACTACACATCAACTCTACCAGCCCAGGCAGCATCTGCTCTGAAGCCTGTACTCGGTGTGGAGAGTGCCAGCTGCYCCCGTAACTTAGTCTTCTGCCTGCAAACACATCTAGCACACCACCAAGACCTGTGCTTCTGCCTTGCTTTTCACCTCTGGCCAGAGAGTATGACACTGGACAATCTAGAACCTTACCAAAGATCTACAACCCTGGAGTGCTTAACKTCTGCATATGAAGGGAAGATACAGCTTAAAATAAGCTTATTTCAGTATTACTTTTGTAGTGCTACAATTAAATGCYCCATTTTCAGTCTAACCACATTTCCTAAGGTATACACAGCAAGCACGCTTGCTGATGTGCATTTTAACTGAACCCCTGAAATAGGCACAACACTTTCCATTGCTTTCCCAACTAGAGAGCCTATCAGTCAGCTTACAAGCACATAATATCTGAAATTTAAGAACTGTTGCATCAAGCATCTTCTAATTTCATGTGGTAATTGACTCTAGTTAGTAACTACCAGCTACATTACTGGAGTAACAAGTCAAAAGTACAACATTATAGAATATTTCAAAAAAATTACAAATTCAAATCAAGTTACACTTACCTCAATGTAGGGGCAATGTAAATTAATTAGCAAAGAATAGCTATGTCCATTGGGCAGTTTACCTATGAGACAACTTGCAACTGTGATCTCTAACTGAAACACTTGTCTTTGCTGTGGTAGGATCATCAGTCCCCATCCTCTCCCACTCCTTTAAGCTTTAATCAAAATATTATAAAGTTTAGGAGTACAAGACCAAGACCTTAAAAGCTCATTTAACTGCAGTGAGTTGTGTATTGGAAACACCAGGAAAAAGTTCAATATATTAATTTATTTCATCATTTCATATGAAGTTCAATTGAACATCATTCAGACAACTTTTTGCTTTGTGAAGATATATGGCATTTTTGAAAGACAGTATTTTGCATAAAATACACTTGAAAAAGTTTAATTAGGTCCTCAACCACATGATTGCATCTTATCAGAAAAGAGGAAACAGTTAGAAACTTGCAGCCAGAGATTTTAGTTTGTATTTTCAAACATCCTTTTGACATAAAATTAATCTTTCAAAGAAATCATTTTTAAATGCCATC